ATAAGTCTGGCAATGAAAGAGAATCTTGACTTGCATCTAATGGATATTGTTACAGCATATTTATATGGGTCATTTGATAGTGACATATATATGAAACTACTAGAAGAATTTAAACTGCTAGGAGTAGGTTCTCGAGAACAGTATTCAATTAAATTGAACAAATCTCTATATAGGTTGAAACAATCTGGGAGAATGTGGTACAATCGTCTTAGTGAGTATTTGATAAAAGAAGGGTATAAGAATGACTCTATTTGTTCATGTATATTCATAAAAAGATCTGGATCTAAATTTGTGATCATAGTTGTATATGTTGATGATCTAAACTTAATTGGTACTCCTCAAGGAATCACCGTGGCCCAAGATTGTTTGAACAAAGAATTTGAAATGAAGGATCTAGGGAAAAAAGTTTTGCCTTGGTTTGTAAATAGAACATCTTAAAGATGGAGTTCTTTTGCATCAAGCGACTTACACAGAGAAAATACTAAAGCAATTTTACATGGGTAAAGCACATCCATTGAGTACCCCAATGGTTGTTGGATCCCTTAATGTAACCAAAGATCCTTTTCGACCTTCGGGATGTGATAGTGAAATTCTTGGTCCTGAGGTGCCGTATCTAAGTGCTATAGGAGCACTAATGTATCTATCCACTCATACACGACCTGATATTGCATTTGATATTAATTTATTAGCAAGATATAGCTCTTGTCCTACTAGAAGACACTGGAATGGGATAAAACATATACTTCGTTATTTGCAAGGTACGAAGGATATGGGTCTATATTTTTCTAACAAATGCATGGAGGGATTATTTGGTTTTGCAGATGCAGGATATCTATCTGATTCACACAATGGTCGTTCACAAACGGGGTATGTATTTATGTGTGGTGGTGCATCTATTTCATGGCGTTCAACGAAGCAAACTATAGCAGCAACTTCATCTAACCATGCAGAAATTTTGGCTATACATGAAGCTAGCAAAGAATGTGTCTGGTTGAGAAACATGACACATCATATTCGCAAGGTATGCAATTTATTTTCAGAAAAGGAAGCACCAACAGTTATACATGAAGACAATGCGGCTTGCATAATTCAATTGAAAGATGGGTATATAAAAGGAGATAGAGTGAAACACATATCACCAGTTTTTCTTCACTCATGATCTTCAAAAGGATGGTATTATAACAGTCCAGTAAATTCGTTCAAGTGAGAATCTAGCAGACTTATTCACAGAGGTACTCCCTACTTCGGTATTCAAGAAATTGGCACATGGTATTGGATTGCGACGGTCGAAAGACATCAAGTGATGTTGCCACCAGGGAGAGTGAATATAGTACTCTTTTTCTATGGCCATGGTTTTTTCCCACTAAGTTTTTCCTTGACAAGGTTTTTAACGAGGCATGCAATTCACTTGTTAATGGACATCAAGGGGAGAGTGTTATGAAATATTAATGTGGATGTCCATAACCCCTGTACCATGAAAGCTACAACCTTCTACTTCATCAATGGTGTAACTCTCCTAGCATCAATTCTTGTAACTCCACCTCACATGTATGGCTATATATAGGAGGACTTATGTATTGGAAATAAGATAAGAGAAAAGAGGACAGCTCATTTTTTTTCTCTCTAAATTTATTCTCCACATTATTACATACATATTCTTGATAGTCAAACTAGCTATTATATAACAGCAGAATCTTTGTTGTCAACTTAAGCCATGTCGTTCTTTTGAATGATCATTATTTTAGCCTTTTATAACCAGAAAATTATATTATCATCGTTCCTACTACTACGTAAACAGATACTGTATACGTATACCTGGTTCCACGACTAAATAAAAAGCTGAGTAGGTCAAACCAAATATACTAATCATCCATACGCATAGTTGTGCTCTTACTTTGATGTCAACCCATTTGACCAAACGATAAGTCGATAACCAAAGATTAGACCCCATCCAACAAGAGCCATGCCAAAATAAAGCTACCTGATCGATGCAACTTTTCAGTCTTTTGTAAACTTACTTCAAAGAAAGAATCCCCTCCCCCTGCCTGACATAAAGCTCTTGCCACTTTTTGGGCAGACACCGTTGGCTGATTTGTATCGTTGCTGGTTTGTGAAGAAGACTGTTGGTTGGTTTGTGTGAGAGAAAAATACTATTTCAGCTAAAAATTTAGAATCGTTTACGACAAGCCACAGTCAAACGAACGAGCCCTAGCTAGAGTTAGAGTAGCTAGCTCAGCTTAGCTGCCCACTAATCTGTACAGTACTATGCTTAAGACTTGATTATTCCTGCAGCGTTAGCAAACTGCACTGCACAACTAGAGATGCCCTCGCACTGCACTATCAGGTCAGGTGCCCTTTGCACCCGTCACATCACGTCGCGTGCGCGTCTCCATCGGTCCCTCTCCTCCAGCTCCAGCGAAGCGATATGGCCCAGATGCCCCAAAAGCACTCTGCGTCGATCAGCTGCTTCTTGTTCTTGAGTTCTTGGCTTCTTTTTCCCTGCCTGCACGTCCAGATGTGACCGGCAGACTGCCTATCTTCGCACTAGTCACGGGAGAACAATTTTGATGCCATCAGACCGGGACACCGGACACCACGGTTTCCATGCATGCACGTACGCAATTAATGGCTAACTTGAACCGAGTTTTTGGTACAACTACTAGCTAGCACAGTGGATGTACAACGATTGTAGAACTAACAGTCCATGGATTGTGATGCACCAGCCATACAGGTACTCCCATATGTTGGGTACACGGTTGGCAGTTGCAGACTTGCAGGGGTGCCTATCGGCCGGAGATCTGAGAATAAATGTTGGCCGAAAAGTTCGGGACTTGGACCGAATAATGATGGCACGAGGCATGCTGCATCTGCATGCATATGCTTTGAAATCGATTTGGTCAGCGCTGATAAGAACAACCATGACAACTCCGAAATCGATTTGGTCAGCGCTGATAAGAACAACCATGACAACATTGACACCCGTTTTTAATTTTGTTTAGAACTGTTCGCCGGGAATTCATGCATGAGTGATCATAATTCGTTGAACTACTCCATTTTGCTTTGAAACTGTGTATCTCTTGTGTAACCTTCTTCTAGAATGAATCTTGTATTTTGAGTATATTAGAGACACCGCTAGGTCAAACCATGCACGAGACCAACCCAAATACTACTGCTTCCATTCAAGAATAAAAAACAAAGCCATCTTTTTTGTTCTGGATTGCTCACACTTTGACTATTACTTTATCACACATATATCACTTATATAGCCATGACTAAAGTATGAAAATTATTTCAAAATACTAATGCACTTGTGTGATATTTGTACACTACACTACATGAACATATTTACAATTTAGCATCATTCCTCAATATAAGTTTGACTTATCCAACAAAACAGATTAAAGCATTTAGAGTATAAACACTTTAATCTTGTGCTAAAAAGTCACTGGATGAACCTATAAATGTACGAGACATTACTCAAAATGCAGGAGCCTATATCTGTAGTGTTGTAATCTTGCTCTTAGTCACTAAAATAGAAGAAGATATGCAAGAGTTAAGATGTTGCATGATCATTTTTTTTGGATTCGAGAATCGTTGAGACCAATCAGGCCTTATTCAGTTGTTCTCAAAATCAAGGGGATTGGAGTGGGTTGAGGAGGATTTTGACTTGTTGAGGATTTAATCCCCATCAATCCCTCTCAATCCCCTTGATTTTGGGATCAAAAACGAATGTGCCCTCATGAAATTGTGAACTCAACATGAAAAGTTATTTTGGAGATTGAAAGGAGTTTAGTGATGTGAGTTTCCATTTTTTTCTTTCATTGTTATGACATTTGCTTGAGAAAAAAGAGAGCTAGAAGTTAAAAGTGGATCTCAAAAATGTTGCGACACCGAAGGAGCGGAGGAGTGAATGACATTGGTATGCATGGAATCATTCATGGATCCGGCGGGTGTGAATTCACGTTATTCGCCATATTCGTTTGGGCTGGTTTAGCTTATAAGCCATGACTGAAAATACTGTTGGCTGGTTTGGTATGAGAGAAAAATACTGTTCGTTGGCTGATAAGCATGACTTATAAGCCAGATACAAGCAAGCGAACAAGCATTTTGGTATGTTAGTAGGTGCTCACTTATGGACTAGAGAAACGATGGTTTACACTATTGATGAGGTAGTGAGGTTATGCCATTACTACAATGCGAAAAATAGAGAATCATATAAAATATTTCGTCTAACCGCACAAGTTTGCAGAGCCATTTGTAAGATATCAGTAAAAGAAGTAGAGAAGAGATACACAAACGCTGATAAGGCCACATATTAACTACTATAAGCAAAACTATAGAAGTCATTATCGCAACACGTGTCCATGGTCAGAGTCATAGTGCAACCCATGACAAAATTACGAAAAACTAATGACCTCGATTAGAGGCTTCGGTTGCTTGGCCTTGGCAAACCTTTTGTGTGGGTGAGGAACCGTGGGATGGACCAGTCGGCACTTGCCAATTCGTTGCATTGATGAGTTATGACCGGAACAAGTAGGCTAGCCACCAACCGGTGACCAAACCATTTCCCTTCCCGCGTAAAACCAAAAACCCAGCACCAGCACCCAAAGCCCTACCATTTCTCATTTCATTTCCTTCTTTTTTTCCCCCTATCTCTCTGGGCTCGTACTAGTCAAAACCCCCTCCGCCTCCGCCGCTTCCTCCTCCACTTATTTTACTCTGCTGCCCCCTGCCTGTCTCTCTCTCTCAGCACAGAGGTCAAACCAAAAGGCGCACCCCGCCGCAACCCAGCCCAACCCACCGCCGCCACCGCTCTGCAATGGCGGCTCCGCTTCCCCTTCAAAACCGGCTTTCCCCTCTCCTCCTCCTCCACATCCCCATCTCCCCCGCAATCTTCCTCTAGTAGTGCTGTGCTGCGCTTATTCTTCCAACAATCGAAGCTTCGAGTTCGTTACACTTTACACGAATCTGCGGCCGCGAGTAGTGCCGGAGAGCGAGCAATGGAGGGGGTGTGGAGGAAGGCCAAGCGGGCGCTGGGCGCCAGCCTCTGCGTGCACCTCCCCGCCGTCGCAGGCGACCGCGAGGACGGCGGCGCCAGGGAGCGCCGCGCTTCGGATGCGCTCTCCCTCGATTCTACAGCGGCGGCGCACGCATCGGCGCCCAACACGCCGGCCGCGACGGCCGCGCCGGAGACCGCCGCGCTGCTGCGGAGGTCCAAGTCCGGAGGCAAGTCCTCCAAGGTGAGGCCCCCATTTCCACCCTTCCCCGCGCTAGTCTATTCCGTCATTTCCGAGTTAAGATTTGCGCTTGGTTCTCTGGCAACTTGGCGCTCGAGGGGGCCGCCGGGGGATCCTAGTTCCTAGGTGTGGAATGTCGGAGGGGTGGAGGCCGGCTTGCCGACCGCCTGTGTTTTTTTGGTTGGAGCTGGGTACGGATTGGAGCAATGTGGCTTCGCCTCATCGCCTGTGAACGATTTGTCTCCAGATGCGGTGTTCTGGTCGGCAAATTTTGGATGATTTGATGGGCGGCTTGGTTTGGATGCTCGTGCTCGGCGCCCAGCATTCTTGTATGCATCTGATTTTTTTAATGCCGTGTGTTTGTCTTAAGCTGCGCCTGCTAGTCGGGATTATTTGTCATTTGTCACTTTGTCTTTGAGTCGAAATTATCTCGTACTGTTTCTGCGGATTTGCTTGCAGGAGCATCTAATCTGTTCATATAAATAACCCGGTTTAACTTTTCCCAAAAATTTTCACGAGAACACATCGAAAATAGATGCGCCTTTACAAGATGATGTCACTTTCTATTGTGAATATTCCGATCCATGCTATTTTCTCATATGACCTTGTGCTCTCTTCCGATGCACAAAATCTCCTTTCTTCTCAGATCTCAGTTTCAGAGATTTTTTTTGGGTTTTCGCAGTCAGTTTGCTAGTTTTGCCTAGATGTCCTTGCGAGTCGCTTTGAGACGGGTCAATGCCTCTTGCTTCGTTGTCCCGTGTGATATGCATAACTTAACGTAAGCTTCTTTTTTCTACTGCCTCAACTTGCTCCTCCCCGAAAGGGAAAGTTGGCTCCTTTGCTGACCACCAACCTGCCAACTTCCCATTGTGTTCACGTGTATCATCTTCACCTCTTTACTAATCTCTTATAATTTTTTATACTTTTAATTTCTAGCTTGGGTTGCTGTCCATTAACTGGAATACCAATTACTAATATTTTGCATTCATCTGTTTTTTTTAAAGTACATACGTGTATAGAGTTGTCATGGCAAGTGCGTGAGTTCTTTAATGGAAATCTGAATTTTTCGTGATATGATCGTCGTGTGGTTGAGTCGAGGCATGGGTGCCCTCATTTATAATGTCACACTTTTTTTGTTTATAATGGGGTGACCCTATTTGACCAGCAACCTCACAAGTAGTGTTTTTTTTCCATAGGGTTGACATTTATGCACTCGACAGTTCAAAATTTGCTTGTCCTGGTCAAAGGCAAAGGCTACAAATTACAATGCTAGTGCTAGAAAATAAACACTAAATTATTTCCTTATGTTGAGGCCTGCATAATCGTCTTTGAAATGACTAGTATGTTTCATGTTTCCAAAGTAGACATTTTAGCAAACCAACATGGGATACATACAACAACAACAACAACAACAACAACAACAACGCCTTTAAGTCCCAAACAAGTTGGGGTAGGCTAGAGTTGAAACCCAGCAGAAGCAATCAAGGTTCAGGCCAACATAGGATACATGGTTGGGTCAAATTTAGGATGCAAGTTTGACAATTTTTTGTCCGTTTGTCTGGTCATGCATTGATTTTTTTCTGCAAAGCGCCGCAAATTGTGACCAATATCAATATTTTGAAGCATGCATGTTTGTGTGTTTTCTTATACACCTATGGGTTGGAAATTTGTACCATGTGTCAGTATCGAAAGTCAATAGAATGTGCTGGGTTTAGTTGTTCTGTGATGGTGGTTTGTTTGATCTTTTGCTTACCCAGACTCCTTTAATAAATGCTATTCTTGTGGGTTTTCTTATACAGGCGGTGGTAGGAACTACTATTCAATACAAATATTTTATTATGGCTTGGATCTATAAAATTAAGTATCTGTACTGTTACTTGTGATCTCTTTGTCTGTTCCATCCTGCTTTCTAAGGATAAGGTAAATAGAGAAACTAACACTTCTTTTATTGTTTTGTCAACAGAGAATGTGTGCAATATGTTTTGATTCCATGAAGCCAGGTCATGGACAAGCCCTATTCACTGCTGAATGTTCTCATATGTTTCACTTCCACTGCATCTCCTCTAGTGTGAAACATGGAAACCATGTATGCCCAGTTTGCCGGGCAAAATGGAAAGAGATCCCCTTCAATCGCTCGTTATCTTCTATAGTTCCTCGTGGAAGAGGTGGGCTGAATGTAAACCAAGCTCGATTACCCCAGCAAGATGCCTACATGGCTCTTCTCCGCCAGGTTCCAAACCGTCAGCGAGAAGGTCCAGTCTTGGTTACTTCTGAGCCAGCAGACTTCAATGATGATGAACCTTTGCAGAAGATGGAGGCTGCTAATATTGGATCTAGTAGAACTGTGGAAATTAAGACATATTCAGAGTTTTCAGCCATTCAACAGTCATCTCAAGATGACTTTGCTGTTCTGATCCATCTGAAAGCCCCATATGCTAACCCAGAGCAGGTCACAGGCAGATCGGTCAATGCAGCCTCAGTTGGTTATCCTACATCCCGTGCCCCTGTTGATCTTGTTACCGTGCTTGATGTTAGTGGAAGTATGGCAGGCACTAAACTGGCACTCTTGAAGCGAGCCATGGGTTTTGTTATACAGCATCTTGGTCCATCTGATCGCCTTTCAGTCATTGCTTTCTCGTCTACTGCCAGAAGGTTGTTTCATCTCCGACGGATGTCCCACTCTGGCCGGCAGCAGGCCCTGCAGGCTGTCAACTCACTTGGTGCTAATGGTGGCACAAACATTGCTGATGCGCTGAAGAAAGCTGCTAAGGTTATTGAGGACCGAAGCCATCAAAATCCAGTATGCAGCATCATTCTCTTGTCAGATGGCCAAGATACATACAATATTCCATCAAATATTAGGGGTGCCCGGCCAGATTATAGTTCACTAGTTCCATCCTCCATTCTAAATCACACATTTCGCTTAGTGCCAGTGCATGGGTTTGGTTTTGGAGTAGACCATGATTCAGATGCTTTGCATTCGATTGCTGAGGCCTCTGGTGGTACATTCTCCTTTATTGAGGATGAAGGTGTGATTCAGGATGCATTTGCTCAGTGTATAGGTGGGCTTCTCAGCGTTGTTGTTCAAAATATGCAAGTAAATGTGGAGTGTGTGCATTCTGGTGTCAAGCTTCGCTGCATCAAATCTGGTAGTTACCTGAGTAAGGTGGCTGCACATGGCCGAAATGGTTCAATTGATGTTGGTCATCTCTATGCCGATGAGGAAAGGGACTTTCTACTGTCGGTGAGCTTACCACATTGTCGTGAACAGACCACACTTTTGAAAGTTGCCTGTGCCTACAGAGATTCATTGACCAATGAAGACATCAAAATTCAAGGTGATGAGGTAACAGTCTTGAGGCCTAAATCACCCATATCTGAGCCAGTTTGCATGGAGGTTGACCGTGAGAGGAACCGTGTCCGTGCCGCTGATGCTATCGAGGCTGCAAGGGCTGCTGCTGAGAGAGGTGCTCTTTCTGATGCTGTGTCAATTCTGGAGGATTGCCGAAGGATACTTTCAGAATCGTTTTCAAGCCGGAGTGGGGACCGCCTGTGCATGGCCCTTGATGCAGAGCTGAGGGAAATGCAAGAGAGGATGGCTAACCGGCAGCGCTATGAGGCTTCAGGGCGGGCATATCTGCTGTCTGGCCTTAGCTCACATTCTTGGCAGAGAGCCACTGCACGAGGCGACTCCACTGACAGTGATACACTTGTTTACTCCTACCAAACACCATCCATGGTTCACATGCTACAGCGCTCACAGAATCACTGCCCTTCTCCTCAGGGCCCATCACAGGTCCAACAACCTAGGATCTTGGTGAAACCCCATCCAAGGTAGAAGGTAACTCAGCACCTCAGCATTATCTTCCGAAGCAAGGGCACAAATGTTGGTGAAGAAATTCAATTCATATGGCTGCTTAGTAGGTCGTAGTGTAGTTCTCTAGCACCTTTATTTTGCTTCTCTTGTTTGAGTCATGGTGGTGGTATACCAGAGGTGGTGAGGCGGGTTTTGGAGGTAAATATAATCTGGAGGGGGTATACTGGGGAAGGCAAGGTGGGGCTTTGGTGGTAAATACATTGTGGGGGGTATACTCCTGTGGTGTTAAGAAATAAGTAGACTACTAGTAGAGGGGCTGGAGAAAATGTGTAATAGCTTCAACGGATCGGAGCGGTAGTTTAGTGGAGGCCAGTTCATTGTCAATGTCTGTTTTTCCATTTGGTCTTTGGTGATGTAGATAAGAGGGATTGATCTCGGGGCGGTATATCATGGAATCTCTGGAATTTTTGATGTTTTGGGCGGTGTCAATGCTATTCCATGGATTCAAACTTTCAGTTTTATTATTAGCTGGTGTCCACCAGCAGCACATGCCCGTGAGGTGTGTTTCAACTTGCAACTATTGTTCACTTATTTTTCGTGCTTGTTGCATTGGTTGAAGGTTTGGCTCGAATTTGGTTAGGTTCTGCCGTTGGTATGATTCTGCGCGTCGACTGAATCAAATAACTTTTTGGTTGCGATTACATGTATTCATATCCCTCCAATTGATTGAGCAGTTCCGTATATAATCAAACCATTGGCTCAACGTTGATAAAGAGCAGTAGTAGACAAGCTTAATGATTGATAAGGTTAACATGAATGAAATAAAATCTCATAAATTGAGAAACTACTAATATAAAGTAGCATCAATTGTAAACTGCATCTGTGCATCATCTACCACTGCTAAACCTGGAGTCTAGAGACCACACACAATGTTTCCTCCCTGTATAATGTAAACAAAGAAGATAATCAGTGCTAATGGCTTCTACTCCGACGAGTCCTGCGGCGTCCTGAGCTGCTTCCTCGCCTGCTGCCGCCCCCTGGCCGGGTCGTCAGGCAAGGTAGGGGTATCATACCTCACCGTGCACGGCGGCGATGCCTCGCCACGGCCCAGGCGGGCCTTGCACTCGATCACCAACTGGTAGCAGGTGGCGCAGTACCTCGCGGGGCCCATCAGCTTGACGTCCACGTCCGCCTCCCCGCGACCGAGCTCGTCGGCGAGCGTGTCCCGCGCGAACCGCGGCACGGGCACCGCGGTGCCCCACGCCATGACGTTGCCGACCTCGGTGGCGTTCTCGTTCTGGCCGCAGAACCCCGGGACGGGCCCGCTGGCCAGCCGCACGCGGCGGTACGACACGACCGCCGTGGTGCCGCGCGGGACGCAGGCGGTGCTCCACCTGCGCGGCTCCTTGATGAAGACGGTGAGGTCGAACGTCGGGTCCAGCAGCGTGGGCGTCGGCGTGGCCCGGCCAGCCGCGGCGGCGTCGACGTCGAGGCCAGAGAAGCCGGCCACGGCGACGCTGTACTCCGGGTACTTGCCGTTGTCGAAGGACATCTGGTAGGGCCAGTAGAGAAGGGGCACCGCGAACACGAGCGCGGCCAGCGCGCCGAGGACGGCCGGGAGGATGTCCCAGAAGAGTTCCCTCGCGTTGCTGCAGCATCCGCCGTCGCCGCCGCCGCGGCCGCCGTCGTCGATGAGCGGCTCGGTTCCCGACGCATGAGCTCCCATGGCGATGCGAGGCGATGCCCTTGTTGATCTCTTTCTTGTCTCTCCTCGGGTGATCTCGTTGCGTGCGTGGGGGTTGGGACCGGAAGGCGTTGGCTTGGCACTTGGCCCTGTCGTGATTCGTGGGCTATTTATATATGGGAGATGCAGGCTCCACGAGTTCGGCAATGACACGGCCGGGAGCTAAACGTGGACGAGACGAGACGATCCTGTACGTACAGGCCTGCTATGTTGTGCCCGTGGCCGGTGCACGTTTGTGAACTGCAGAAAACTTTTCTCCTGCACGGATTATTTATCCCTAACATACCCGGGTACCGTCGTACGTAACAGCAAGAGTCTTTTTGTTTTTTGAAAAGTAACAGCAAGAGTCATTGCGCGCCGCGGTAGGAGTAGGACACGACCGCCGCGGGGTGCTCCAATTGCGTCGGCGTCGAGGAGCGGCTCCGTTCCTGTCTCGCGCTCTCCCATGGCGACACGAGGAGAGATAATGCCACGATGAAGGTTGTGCTGAAGTTAGGTCCATGAGACTGAGTTGCGCAATCACACGGGAGCCGAACGTGGATGTGAACCACAACCACCTTGTACAGGCCAGCAAATCTGCAATGCCGTGCCCGTGCACTCGTGTCTTGCACGGGCTCTTTGTTGCAAACAAAGTCTGGTACGTACGTGACAGCAAGCGAGTCCTCTAGCAATACACGCGCGCATGCAGTCCACGGACGATATATAACAAGCCCACACGCGGCCATGTCCATCATCCCCTTCGAATCGAAGAAGCCATAGAGACAAATCGTCTACCGAAAGCCAAAACCCAAGACAAAACAGAGCTAACCATGGGCGCGTCCAGCGACTCCGGCGCCAGCAAGAGCAAAAGATGTCAGCAGTTCTTCGTCGGCGTCTGCATCGCCGCCCCGGTGGTTATTCTCGTGGTGGGATTTACCTTGATGTTTGACTCCTCCAATACGCCGTTGTACTCCGCCACGATCACCGCCGTCTCAGGCCTTGACCCGGAGACGGACCTGCGGCAGCAGAGCCGGCCGGGCACGGGCACGCTCAGCCCGGTGTTCAACCTCACCGTCGGCGTCGCCTCGCACAGCCGGAGGGAGGGCGCGCGTATCGCTCCCGGCACCTCCGTCAAGGTGTCCTACTCGCACCTCCGTCTCCCCATGGCCAGCGGCCACGTGCCGGACGCGCGCGTGGGGCCCCGGGAGTCGAGGGAGCTGCCGTCCGTCGTCGCGCGCGGGCGCGAAGTCGCCGTGCTGGGGTTCCTGATGGACAGCCTCGCCGAGGAGATGAGGAGCGGGCAAGGCCATGTTCGAGGTCGAGCTCATCGAGAGCGATGAGTACGGGTGGCGGGACGTGGCCAAGGGCTGGGGGATGGTGGGGGACACCATTAGATTGACATGAGGAGGAACTCAGTTTCAATTTTTTTTTTCTCAAGTAATTTAGGATTGCTTGAGATGATAAGTACTCGTGCTTTTAAACTTTTGTTTCTCAGAATTTTATTAAGAAGGCAGTTCGTACATGTAATATATAGTTTGATTTCAACGAGGCCCTGTTCGGCTGGCTGAAAAAACGACTGATGTTGATTTGTTGTGAGAGGAAAACACTGTTATTTTGCTGAAACGGTACGGCTGATAATGATTCTCATACAAGGAACATAAGCAGGCCCTATTGTTCTTTGCTAGTTCGCTATCAGATATTCATTCAAAAAAAATAGGTACTTGATATTGTGAACAACGGCTTCTTCCTTTACTTTTTCGCGATTGGAGATTATACCCATATTTCATTAAGAAGAACTGCTTCGCCCTTTACATGGGACTATGGGATGCAGTTTTCCGAAAGAATGTCGGAGCAAATGACTTTCGCATATCATTCATAACAAAAAGATTTTCGCACATAAAAAAAGAGAAAAGACCAATTCACCTCCTCAACTATTGCGGTTGTTCGATTTTTCTTCCTCAACTATAAAAACAGTTTTACCCCCCCCTCAACTTGTAACATCGTTTGTTTTTATACCTTAGGTGGTTTTGTCAATGTAACGCTACATCAGAAGGGAGCTCGGACTAGCGCCACGTCGGAAGGGAGCAAATCGGACGAAACTGAAAATTCAAGGAGGTAAATTGTACTAGAAGTATTTTTAAGTAATATATACCTAAAAATCATAAAAATAAATTGTCAAAAAATTATCCAAATAACTTTTACATGAAAAAATAATGCAGTTAAAAATCTTAAAATGTAATTTAATCTTAGAAAATTGGTTTTACGTTGGAAAATCATGAAACTAGTTTTAGATTTTTTCCCTAAAATCATGCTCTATCTTATGGTGCCTAGCTTCAAATTGTTTAAATTTTGATGCACTCATTTGGCGCTTATTATTTGCTGGTAGAAGCTGTCATTGATCGTGCTCTCTGGATTGGGCGGTCTTGTGTATCTTGCCTGGAGCGTCGCGGACAAGGCAAAGCAGCCGCGCTACCACGTCGCGGTCGACGCCGTCGCCGGCCTCGACCCGTCGGCGGTGCTGAGCCAGCGGCGGCCCACGCTCGACCCGGAGTTCAACCTAACGGTCGGCCTCGCCTCGCGGAGCTTCACCAGGGGCTTCTGCTTCCACGACGGATCGGCGGTGCGGCTGTACTACGACGGCGTCCAGCTCGCCGGCGAGGCGTTGCCTAGCCTCTGCGTGGGCCCGCGGCGGTCCGCGGAGCGACGAGGGTCCGTGGTCGCCTGGGGCAGCGGCGTTCGTGCGCGTGTCGCGGCTGGTGAGGGCCGCGCTCGCCCGGGACCTGCGGCGCGGCGCGGCTGAGTTCGACGTCGCGCTCACGGTCAAGAAGCCCACGGAGGACGGGTGGGAAGTGGTGACATGCAAGGTCAAGGTGGGCCGAGCCGCCGCCGCGTCGCGGCTCCCTGCGCCGTGTCTGTAGTGGATGCCCCGTCGCCGCTGACGCACAAGGATGTGGGCCTTGTGAGCTATGGCTTTTCTCCGGCGCCGGAGAACGGCGGAGCGGATTGATCACCGCCCCGTTCATTTGGCTGATAAGCCATAGATGAAAGTATCGTTGGCTGATTTGTTGTGAGAAAAAAATATTGTTCATTGACTGAAAAAGTACGACTTATAAATCAATAAACAGGGCACACAACTTTTAATTGGCTGGAACAAGGTGATCGTGGTCGCTCCGGACGGCGTGTGTACTTCGATGAGACATCGATGGAGAAATTTATTTGTTTGATTTTGATGAACTTGTGCTCGTGTCAAACTGTCAATAATATTCTACTTGTGTTTTGTTTGGCTGGCTCTGTAGCAACGAGAGCTAAACCATACAGATCTCCGACGCGACGCGCTATGAGTGATGAGATCACAACCGTGATCTGCATGAAAGGTCGTACGTGCTACATAAACTTGATGTTTCTTTTTCGAAAATTACCACGGTATTGAAAGAGGACTTTACAAGGTTGTTATGTTTAAAAATTTAACAAAACAACCTGACAATCTCAAGATGAGAGGAAGAAGCATTATTGCAAGACATCAAGCACCACACCAAAATTTGACTCCCTCTTTGATCTTTGAATCAACTGATGAAGCATGGAGTGTTTGCAGTCAAAGAAGCACACATTTCTTTTTTTTCATAGCACTTCAAGTGTAAATGATCATCGTTTGTGTTTTATATTGCGTAATCATATATCTTACGTATTTAATTAAGTTTTAGCTGCATTATTGCATAATTTCCTATCATCACTCGGGCAACTATATGTCCATCGAATTAACAAAGATATGATCATGCAGATGTAACGACTCGTCCTCCGCTGTCAAGCCACCACAAGCCATGTACGGCCCTGGTCGTGCTCCCCGCCTCCCCCTTTGTCATGCTCTCGTGCTGTGTCAGCAATCCTCCGTCCCAAGAGAACCCTGGTGCTGAGCTTTCTTCAAGTTAAGAGGAGAAGCCCAGGAACCGGAGGCCCAGGAAGGAGAACCCAAGATACGTAGGTGGCCCATGGGCTCGCTGAACGCTTGCAAGCGTGCAAGAGGCAAGGCCTCTGTAATCGATTAAAAGGGAGAGACCCGAGGGAGGTCAGCATTGTAATAACCAGATTCTAATTTTCCTCCTAAGGGCTCATTCGTGATCTGGCCGAGAGCAGTGTATATAAATTAGATAAGCGTTCCTGGCTGAAACAGTTCCTGACCTCAGAACCTCAGGAACCGAACAGGCCCTAAAGAAGAACTCCTCCGCCGTATCCCTGTTCTTCTTCTTCCTCAAGCACTCCCTTCTTCTCCCCGATCCAATCTCAATTCCCCTTCCCTGCTGCTGCTCCTCACATGCTGGCACCCCACCACAAAACAAAGTATTGCCTCCATTTCAAATTATATTTTGTTTTACTTTTGTTGTTAACCGAAATTCTCTAAATTTAATCAAGTTATAAAAAAATACATCAACATCCTTGACATCAAATTAGTTTTATTAATTTCTTCATAAAATATATCATGATAATACATTTATTTGAACTTGTAGATATTAGTAGATTTTTCTAAAAACTTGCTTAAAGTTCATGAGATTAGACTTAGGACAAGACTAGATTGATCTCTTGCACGTGTTAATTAGTATCTATATCTTTTGCATGCTCAATCAACTAAGTTCTAAAGATTAATTTTAGTTGTTCTTGTTTTAACTTTTGAGTAAGGTGCATAGTAAAACAAAACTAATAGGGTCTACTTGTTGAAGTAGAAAAACCCTGAATTTGACAAGTTTATAAACTAAACCAATATAACTAACAAGGCACAAAATCACGGTGTGGAGGGGAATTGAACTTTGGTCTACTATAGTTTGGACATTGGAGTCACATCTACTGATCATCTCACTTGCTTCGTTGCTTTTATCGCCAATGGCAATTTGTTAACCCAGTTCAAATGATTGGACCACGTGACAAACCACCAAATAGTGAACCAATACCATATGATTGGTTCAATAACCGGTCTAGCCTTTTTTTCATTGTAAGGGTGTGAAATTAGGCCTTCCACAACGTCGAGTGAAGCCAGAAAAAAAATTAGAGCCCACATGTGAGTCCAACGTCAATCCTGCTATGTCACAACTTTGGTATCCATTGTGGGTCCCACATAAGACATTAGAAAAAAAAATGAAAGCAAGCGCCTGTCGTCCTATCTAATCCGTTTTGAGAGAGAATGGCTTGTTGAATTTGGTAATGCTATAACCGGGGCAGAGCCGTAGAGCTCATTGCAGACTTCAGCGTATCAAATGCAGTCTTGTGAACCAAATAAAGATGGTCCCCTTCGTGAGCAGTTTTTTCTATAAGCCTTCTTGAACAGGTTGACGAGGAGCTTTGCAATAATGACAAAGTGTCCCACAAACTTGCTAAAAGAACCAGCAAGACCCAAGAAGCTGTGGAGTGCTTTCACAGTGGAATTGTTGGGATGGTTCAGCATTTTCACTATTCCCTCTCGGGGATAAATGAACGAATTTTCTTGTATGGACACAAAATAATCGTATCTAATCTATTTTTATATACTTTGAGACCTTACGCGAATTCAATCCTAGCTAAGTAACACGTACGGAGTACATCATACGTACAAAACTTTTAGGCAGGAGACGGCTCTGCACCCCATGAATCAGAGCTCAGAAAGCCCTATCGTCCGTCTCGAGGTGCCCACCGTCGACCTCCTCCTCCTCCTCCTCGTCGCCGATGTACAAGTACGGGTTCTTCTCCACCGGCTTGAAGTTGTAGAAGACGAACACGTAGAAGGCGAAGCTGGCGCCCTCGACTGCGACGTCGACTCCCCACCGGTACCTGTAGTTGAGCAGCGCGAGGAACTCTGACACGATGATCCGGGTGAAGTAGAGGTAGCCGACGACGACCAGGTAGAAGCGCTTCAAGAGCGTGAGCTTCTTGAGGTTGCGCGCCGCCTTGCCGTCGGTCCTGGCGGCCTCGCGCAGGCCCCGGATGGACCAGAGGATGGGGAAGATGACGGCGCAGCAGCAGATGACGTCGATGAGCAGGAAGACCCGGGTCCACGCGATCCAGCCCCGCCGCGTCGGGCCCGTCTCGCCGATCACCACCATCAACAGGTTCTCCATCACTTGCAGCGGGATCACGATCATCAGCAAGCTCTTTTCGCGGTCCTGCAACATCGAAAATGTCACTTTGGGATCGGATGCATCATCGCAAGCGGTGATCGACGATAGGATTCTATCTAGAAATTGATCTGACCTGGAGGTACGGTTTGAGGAAGGACCAGCCGGTGCCGATGAGGACGATGACGGTGAAGAGCATGATGCCCTTGAAGAAGCCGAAGACGTAGAACGCGACGTCCCAGCCGTGCGATGAACCACGTGTCCTCGGCCGCGCACGCCGACTTGAGCGCCTTGAACAGCAGCAGCGCGCCCATCACGGCGTGGATCCGCTCCGTCGCGGCGTGCTGCCGGACGCACGTCCACACCCACCCGGCCAGGAACGCCAGGTACACCGCCGCCACGCCCGCGTAGATGCCCGGCAGCGGCTGCAGCCCGACGGGGAGGTAGTCCCTGATCATCCCGCCGCCGGAGGCGTCGCGGCGCACGTTGTACATCTCGGTGCGCACGTCCATGGTGACCTCCACGCCGCCCTGGCAGTTGCTGAACACGAGGGCGTACGCGTCGGGGACGTCGATGGTCACGGTGGTGGTGACCCCGCCCGGCGGGACGTCGCTGAGCCAGAGCATCGGGAGCGCGTAGTCGCTCGTCAGCAAGCAGAACCCGCCGCCGCCTTCCGGATCGGCGGCGTAGTACTGTGTCTGGTTGTTGATCCATGGGAACTGGGCACCGGCGATGAGCACGAATCCCATGAGGCTGGAGTCAACGCTGGTGAGGCGTGACGACCCCGGACGGAGTTGCCACGTCACGCGGCGTATGGAGACCGCGGCCCTGCCGCCGCTCGCGAAGCCGAACTCCTCGAAGAAGATGATCAGCCTGGCGTCGGACACGATGGGCGTTATCCGGCGTGGGCAACCCGCACGAGGAGGGCGGCGGTGGCGACGGCGACGGCGGTGGTGTCCATGGAGTTTGCCCGCGAATGTAAGTGCATATCGTCATGCAACAACGCTAGCTTTAGATCGATCGTCGTGCATGCATCTCAGATTGTTCGTTCCAGAACAGGAACCATTGTGGCACGTGCATTGCGTTCGCTCGGGGAACAACGGCAATGGCCAATGGAGATGGACAAGAGGCTCATCGATGAGCATGGCGCGTTTTAGGGAGGGCCACGGAGCATGTTGTACACGTAATGAACCTTCAGCCATTCGGTATCCACATGTGAGGAATTAATGGAATTCTCTGACACTAAAATGTGGTCAGCAATTCAGCATCGTTCAGAAGTACAAGAAGATCGAGCAGAAGACAAGGAACCACATTACATATATAGGTACTATAAACAGAACATGATTACTCAGTAAAACAAATTGTCTGACACGACAATACCAGTACCAATACTTCATGAGTCATTAACCTAAAATAATATGGAAACCGAAAACTAGGCAAGGGATATAGTACCATTATCTAACAAGGGAGTACGTAGTAGCATGTGAGTTTGCACACATCATCAAGCAAACTGATCACTGGAGCATCAAGACGAGACCAACAACCGTAGCCATTGCCGCCGCGATGGCGACGCCGGCGGCAGCGGCGATCGCTGCGCCAACACCGGAGGAGGCGTCGGAGCACGAGCACCCCGACGGCCTGGGGCGCCCGCCGCCGCCGCCGCCGTGGCCCGGCTGTGTCGGAGCTCCAGGCGCCGAGGCCGCCGGGCTGGGCGCCGCGGCCAGGGCCGGGTGCACCATGACGCGCACGATGAGCCTCTGGCCTTCCTCGCAGTGCCCTGGCTCGCCGCTGATGAAGCAGAAGAAGCCGGGGCGGTCGAAGCGGAACTTGGTGGCGCCGTCGGCGAACGCGGCGAGCGGCTCGCCGGCGTTGCAGGCGTCGAAGGCTAGGCGGTCGACCACCAGCACCGAGTCGTTCGCGTACTTGAAATCTGCGAGAGGATCGGATCAACCATATACACGCAGTTATCATACTTGCATCGCATCAATGCATCATGAATCATGAATGGAGAAAGTGAAATGGTTCTTAGGCTACTAGCTACTCACAGAGGTGGTCGCCGACGTGGAAGCGGTTGTTCATGGCCCACCAGCCGTAGCTGGTGTTGGCGTCCGGGACGCGCCACCCGCGCGGCCCGCCCACGCGGAACTCCAGCCCCGCGGGCGGCGCGGCTGCTGCCTCCGCGGCGACGCCGCCGGGAGCAACGAGGAGGAAGAAGACGCCGGTGAGGATCATCAGCGCGGGGAGATCGCGGGAGCTTCCTGCGGCCGCCGCCATGGATCTTGCTTGCACTTGCAGCAGCGGTGCACTGGCGCTGGGAGCGAGGTCGAGAAGGATCGAGCCTCTCAGACTCTGGTTCGCGGGCAGTGGCTTGGTGCTCTCGCGCGCTTGGTGTTGCGTGGGATGGAATGGATTGGAACTGCAGGTGCGGCCGCGTTTTAGAGGGCCTTGCAGGCTCGCATGGTTGTATGACCTGCTCGTCGCCGGTTGTAGTTTGACTGCGCGCGCGCGCGCTCTGTGGATTGGTGGGGAGTGGGAGCGTGCGTGTGGCGAGGGGGAGCGCGGAGCCGAGGACGTGGGCAACGAGCCAGGGGCGGCGGCAGTTAACGCTCTTCATGGCACCATCGCTGGCTTGCCAACCTCGATGATCCACGCGCGCACTGCAATCGTGCAATGCATGGCGCCATGGCGGTGAGTGGTGTCCTTCGAGCTGGAAAGGCCCGGAACGTACAAGGCGCGGATCGCGAGCAAGTGCATATTCACAGGGGAAAGAATAGTGGTGTGTCCATGGGAAAGTTATTTTTGCCCAGACTATCCCAACAACAACACCTAAAATAAAAGATCCATTGAATATTTGCATAGCGCTATACACCAAGAGTTCAATACCTATTTTTTATGGCTGCGTTCGTTGGTCTGGTTTTTCCAGACCAGCCGGCTGCTCCTCCTCACAAAATACTGTTCATCAAACGGGGCCTATATTCCCCATCAACAGAACCCAAAAGAGAACCCTTTCTGTAAAATGGGTTTCCAAAAGAGAGGATACTCATATTTGGGTTATGCCTCTCCTATTACTAAAAATAGGTTTCTTGCCATTGAAGACCCATTTTGGATTTGGACGTCCTTATAGGTACTCTGTTGAAGGTAGTATAAGGGCATATGCCCCCATGAGATTCTCTCTCCAGCTGCACACACATCCCAATATACATCTAACGATGATGCGCATGAGAGCACATGGCCTTAAGGACAAGTTTTCTGCGTTCGTCGGTCCATAGGGAGCTACAGGGTATCTAGCACTATATATTAAGTCATGTGTTCGTAAGTAATTATCTAACGTGAAGAGAGCATAACATAACTTCTCCTAAATTTATACATGTCGCCGTGAATCAACAGGTGTCGATAGCTGCTTTATAAATAAGGATTGGACATTGTTCTCACTAAATTTCTTTTCCACATCTCACAGCTTTGAGTGTCTGACAGTGCTTGGCATCGAATCCGAGATACCACGAATGCATAGGGGGTCCTCCTAGGTGCAGTGATAGGTGAGCAATTTTTTAACTCTAGATAGTTTTTTTTACGAATTATATAGTACAAACACAGACATTCACACGCACGTATATTCACTCATATAAACACATGAACGCAATGGGAAGAAGACAGATGATATTATACATCTCAAGGTTGACGAAGTTGTTATAACCACCTTGCTGTCGAGAGACATGCCTCTATGATTATCGTAAAATAAATAGTAGTGCTATTAGCGACATGAAACATTGTTGGATGAAAAAAGGATTCTAATATAGATTAAATGTTCTTTTATTAATGTTTGACCGAGAAATAAAAAACAAAAATTGATTTTTTTTAAGTCGGCGCATATATTGACAATTGAAGATTATAGATGTGTAGAATTTGTTGAATGTATTCTATTTAATTACTTAAGTTTGGATAAAGAAAAGTTATGCTTGCCGCAATGGGAAGAAATGAAAACTCTACACTAACTCGGGCTACTGTAGCCGACTAATTTGTGACACTAACTTTTCCCCCGATGGGCCTAATAGATAGTGTGTTTCGTGGGCCCAAATTACGTTTCCTAGGGCAACCAATTTAGCGAAGCAAGGTTACATGTCACTTCTGTGTTATATCACCAAGGAAATCAGATCTGTGTGGTTCGCGCGCCCAAAGTTAACGTTTCCACTCACAAAGGGCCAGGGCCTCATGGATCTAATGGACTGGGCTAGGCAGATTTGGGCTTCATCAGAACATTAAAAAATATGTACCTTGTTTATTTGCCGTTCAACCTGGATGAGGAATATATATCGACTTTTGCTATTTATCTGTTGACAAATTTTTTTTTTACTAAATTTCTCAGATTTCTATATGTTTAATTGTGCTTTAGAATTTATGCTACAATTGTCTATTGCGTCGCATGTATAAAGAATCTGACAAATTTGATCACAAAAAATTTGTCGACAGATAACTAGACACTCCCATGTATATACCCATATTAATTGTGTAGATAATAACCATACGTGGTAGATGCTCCTGGCGGCCCTGCACAATTTGTTTCGAGCATTTAGTACGTATATAGTAACATTTATTTAATCACGAAGTTGTTCATGACCTACACTTACAGGGTCCCTTTCTATGTCGCTATCGTTAATTGGCACCTAGAGCATTATCATTGTTATTCTTTGTTAACAAAATCTTCTCTGTACCCAAGACGGGGCACACGATCTGTGTCTGCTTCCGGATTCTAGCTTCTAATTTTAAGCAAAACAAGATATACGGATTCTTGGATGGAGACTACTCTACGAAATTCCTTTTTTTTTAATGCTTTCATACGCTCCTAGCTGGAATCCCTTGTTTGTGCTGTTTCCCACTGCATTCCAACGTAAGTTGATCGGAATATTTGTTATTTGTATATAGGTCTCTGATATGCCTGATTAGGCTGCTAACAGTTTGCTATAGGTGTCAAGATTCGTTCATCCAGAAGGCTCTCGGAGATGTGTATATAGACCATTTTTCCAAATCGATATGAGCTCTGTTGACGAGAATTTTGCGTCTCTTCACTTCAGCAACCAGAATGTCAACCCTCGGAGCTCTACTCCTCCTCAGCTTCAGATTCCTTGAAAACGTCTTGTCCGCCGATTATGTTCTCGCGACGGAAAATATAACCGTATCTCGGCTGCCATGCATCAAAGGTCCTAGGAAAGAGCTTTAGGCCTCGTTCGGTTACCACAGTTCCTGACCAGAATCATTCCTGAGCTACGGTTTCTTCAATATTTTGAATAGCACCGGAACCATTCCTGGCCAGGAATGACCGGGAACAGCGTAACCGAACGACGCCTTACTGTTTACGTTTGTGTTCCATGGGGCCTGCCAATTGTTCAGGGCATACATGTTTCCAGAGCAGCTCGCTTTGCAGCTGCCCCTGATTTGCTAAAGAAAAGGTGGTACTGTTTCTGATGATTCACTGATACAGTTCATAACGGTGCGTGTATGTATCCGGTATTGGATTTGGAGGCTTCGTCCGCCCTCTCGCCGTTTCCTGCATGGAATTTCGCTTGCAATTGCAGCACGGACGACAAATCATTCGTAAACGCTTTCTCAGTGATAAGTAAGATCAGATGCTTGTAGCCTAGTACTCCTAGATAGCAAAGCTTATTATACTCTCTGCACGAATGCTTGCTGGAGTAGCAACACATTTATCAATACGCCGGCAAACTGCAATTATATGCCGCATATAGACAGCGCG